CCCAATCCTGCTGGAAAGGCATAACGAGTGGGGTTCCGCAGGGGTCTGTTAGGCAATTAGGAAATTAGTACCTTAGTTTGTCAGTGCAAGAAGTGCTTATTCAAGTGATTAAATGATTCCATCTGCACTGAAAATATAGTGAATTCCAAACCATAAGAACAGCTTCCAATGCACCAGAAGTCACACTGGGCCTAATTCTGCAAAGCACAGATTAGAACAATTTAAAAGAGTGTTCTCTGCACTGCAGTAATATTGGGATAAGAGCCCCAGGAGCTATTACTGTAGTGTAGAAAATTCTCATCTTTGTAATGGTAGATTTCTACGATAGATTGAATAAATGCTAAACAAACTGATTAAAGAAGTAACTAAGCACTGAAATCAATGCGAGTTGTGCCTATGCATCTGTGGGCAGAACTGGGCCCCCTGTATTTAAAAATAAAAAAGACTGTTGATTGGAGCAGCACCAAGAGGAAAACCCTTGTCACCAACATGAAATTGTTTCTGTTCCATCAGTAACTAGGGAAGATGTTAAGCAGCAATTATTAAACATTTTAAATATGAAAGAGCAGATAATACTCTTTGGTGCAAGTTAAAAGAATTGGCTGGAGAGAACTCTGAACCATTAGTGTTGATTTTTAACTAATCTTGGAACAATGGGGAAGTTCCAGAGGATCAGAAGAAAGCTAATATTGTGCCAACATTTCAATGATTTAGGAAACTATAAATGGGCTAGCCCAACAATAATCCTGAGCACAATCATGGAAAGACTGATATGGGACACAATCGGCCAATAACAAAAAGATAGTGGAATTCAACTTGGGTCTCCCACAGCCTGGATAAGTGCTCTAACCACTAGGCTAAAAGTTACAAGCGGACTACCACCTTCTAATTTATCTTGAGAAAGACACCTAAGCCAGGTCAGCCCTAACTCCAGGAAAGGGTTCACAGCTGTGAATCCCAGTGGATAAAGTTCCCCTTCTGAATCTAGCCCAAAAAGGTTCAGTGTTGATTTGATCACAGTCCTGTTGGAAGGAATGTATTAATTCTATCAAACCTTTGGATGGAAATCATATTTCCTGGTTCCTTGGCAGCATGCCCTAGCTGCTCACCTGGAGAACTGCTGGGCTCCCTGGGATCTCCAGCTCTCCAGAAGCCCACCAGGCTACCCAGCTCCCAGGCTCCCTGGACAGCTGGCTTCCTGAGATTCCCCCACTTCCACCCTGACAGGCAGCCCAGAGAGGAGGACTGCCTGCTCCCTGGTTAACCAGCTCCCCAGTCTGAGAGATTAGATAGCAGGTGCTGAATTTGTTTCACAACAAGACAAGCACAAGTTCTGAACTTGCCTCATGAAAAGCCAAACTACTTGGAACTCAGCACCAATAGCTGGAATAGAGCTCACATCCTCCAAAAGCACAAGCCCCACCCTCCAACATGAAAGGAAGAAGACTATGTTAGCATGGCAATATAGGGTTTATGGGAAACAGTTGAGTAGTGCTGATTACAGTCAGAAGGAGACAGTGGTTCCCTATATATTAGCTGGTCTGCTACAATATTATGGTTATTTTAGGTTACTCTCTGGATGGTGTAGAATATTACGGTGAGCAGACATTCTTAGCAGTTTCCTCCCTCCCCTCCCAAATACTTAAACATAGTGACCTCTTCCTTGTTGCCCTAAGATACTGTCACACTTCGAGGTGCAATCCAGACTGTGTCACCACCTGCCCTGTAATGTTGGGTGCCTGAAATGCCCTGCTGCAGTAGCTCCCAGCCTGGGACCCTCACAGTCAGCTTACAAGCATGCAGGTCAAACCCTGAGTGTCTGTGCTCTAGACAGCCCTGGTTCAGCAGCTCTGGCTTCCATCAGCCTTGGTTACAACCAGCAAGGTGACCCCAGCACACTTCCAGTCCTGAATTTTCCAAAAACCATGTGCCCGTAAGTGTCCAGCCCTCGCCTGGACCACCCAGAGTAACAATGAGGTCCGTTACTCCTTTAAAGAGACAAAACCACATTATAGCTTACTAACTTTATGGGGTAAATACTCCCTTCCCTTCAAATACAGCACTGAGTTGGTTTACAGTAAAAAATAAAACACATTTATTAAGATATTCATAGGATTAGGTGGGTTCAAGTATAAGGAATGAAGATAAAATAAATAAAAACAAAACAAAATACATGTTCTAGTGGCTAAGACTTTGTTCAAGGTAGATTTCTTACCAATCTTTCCTCTTTCCATCCATGGATGACTTTCTCTCAAGTCAGGACCTTCCACAGAAGCTTGGTTTCCCTTGTCTTCCTAGGTGAAAGATCTTTGCCTAAGCAGATTTTTCACCTATATTCAGTTTCCAGAGACTTCAATCCCCACCCTCCCTTAGTTGAAGGATTCCTCTTTCTCAGCTTCCAAGAGCTCTGTTCCCTTGTGTCTGTCTAGTGATGCATGCCAAAGATGGCTTCTGTCTTTGCTTATAGCTTCCAAAGGTCAGTGACGTCATTTCAAGAACCAGGATGATCTCATGATGTTTTCCCCCTTCCTGTGGGCTTCCCATCCTCCTGTATGTAAATGGGGTTTCCACTGTTTTGAATCCACCATGCTTAATTTACATAGGAGACAGGTAAATAGAAGTAATGTTCCCTCCTGTCTGGCAGAGACCTCATTCTCCCTGTGTTTGGACACAGAATGTAAAGCCTAATGTCAATGAGTATCCATAATTCCTTTATAATGTTAATATTTACATTTCACAATATTAGTCACCACTGTATCACAGGTTTTCATAAAACACCTCACTCAATAAACTTTTATAGTGCGATAATACTGTATACCATCAGTTGAGTCAATTGCTTATCACTTGAGGTTCAGACCCACTGTCTTTGTACACCAGTAAATTCTTTGAAAGGTAAAACCCAGACCAAGCTTCTCTCTCCTGCTGGGTGTAGACATCATGCTATCTCCTCTCCCACTTGTTAGCTAATATGTAAATGAACCTTTGTTTTCTCTGCCTTAGGACTGGGCTGGTCAGAGAAGCAAACACGTTCCTTGTCTAGAGCAGACCTGTTTACCATCTCCTCCGACATGACTGATTTAAACACACTTAAGTCAAAATTCCAGCAAATATCCATAACTCTCAATATATACTGTATACATTCAGCATGCAAGATTATTAATGACTAGTGAGTTGTTAGATTTCAAATAATATATTACATGTCACCTTTTAAATAAATATCATTACTCCAGTGTGTGAACTGTAGAGAGTATGTCAGGCCTGACACAGTTGCTGACACAAAGTAGTGATCCACAAATGGGCCTCTGTGTCACCGATACTACCCAAAGCTTTGTCAGCAAGGGACTTTGTCACTTCCCAGTTAAGAAAATAGTCTCTCAAACATTCCTTATCATTAATGTATATTTCACCCTTCAAATGTCTTTGGCTGAAATTCCTCTGTGGCCGATAGAGTTTTAAAGCACAAACAAATCGGACTGTTAATTTACAGTGAACCATGGACTTTATAGACACTGCAAGGAATTTCACACTATTATCATTTCCAGGGCATTATTATTTCAGAAATCAATATAATTCATTAATGTTTA